AGGTAGCGGTTGAAGATATCCGAAGTCATCTGCAATCCATCTACAACAATCTCAGAAGTATCGTTCAAGTTCTTGATGGGGAAGAAATCAAGAAAAACGCTACGGACCATGTAACTTTTTTAGCATGTTGCTCGATTTTTCTTTTTTTTTTTCAACTTTTCTGTGCTTTATTCTATCCACATTATTATTCTTTTTTAGCTAAAACGACACGCAGAGATTTATGCATATCACAAAGATGCCGATTATGAACGAATATTACTACGACGTAAAAAGATTGAAAGCTACAAGGAAACCAGCGAGCGACAAAAACTGGAAAAAACCCAGCAAGCGCAAGCGGAAGCAAATCGGAAGGAGGAACAGAGAAGAGCCGAAGAAATGCGTCGCCTGGAACAGGAGAATATTGAAAAGGAGAAACTTCGCAAACTTGCTGAGCAGGAAGAGATTGATCGTAAAGTGCGAGCGGAAAAGATGAAAAAGATACAGGCAACACCAATTTATCAGGCGATCGTAAAAGATCATGGCGAAGAGGCATTCCAGAATATGGACCCTGATTCAGGTAAGCTTTTTTCGCTTTTTTTTAAGATTTATATCAGCGTACTTTAACTTTTCACTGCCTTAACAAGTCGAAGTTAAAATCCTTTTCGTATTCACGACTTGTGCGAGACGGAATCGCTTGAAGTGACCATCCACTGATCAGGCTGCTGATGGCTCTCTCTTCTAAGGGTTGTTTAGAAGTACCAGTTTACCATCGAAACGGATAAACGGATCGTAGGAGAATTGTTTAGCACCTCGATCGTCATTATGCTCATCAAGTAATATTTGAAAAAAAAATGCCAGTTTTGGTTTTTTTAGTGCTCCGCGAACAACGCGATCGGTTGGATGAGCAGCGTCGTGAGCAACAGGCTCGTCTGCAAATGCAGGAAAAGAAATTTGACCATCTAGTCCGAGCTTACCATCTGCAGGAGATGGTTGCTCGTAAGGCACTTTCAGAGGATTTCGCTCGAAGAGCACCTCTGAATCACGAGGCTTATGAGAAGCATCGTATTGAAAGCGCCATGTAAGTTTTTAACGCATGGAAGGGAGTATGTGTGCCTGGTTCCCTGTATGAACAGCAGGCAGCTCATGTGGACTGTCTGTTTTAACTGCAGGGTAGAGAATGTGCCGCATCTAAACTGGATGGAGTGGCCATCGTCGTAGCTGGCACTTCACCAAGACGATCCGTACACATTTTGCCTCCTTCAGCTGTGAAGCGGAAGAGGGTAGAGTAACCTTGCAGCCAAATTCTTACGTGGGATTTTAGCGGGCATTAAGGAAAGGAAGGTGAAGGGAAAGAGAAGTAACCGCCGCAGCAGAGTGTTTAGTCATTTTGAACTCGTAGTCTGGTCTGCCAGCTATTTTATGACCGCCATCCTGCTGGGATCCTGACATTTGTTTCGTCTCTTGAGTGGATAACCAGCTCAACAGCCATCTCGGTTGAAGCATTTGGCAAGGCTTAGGCGTTTCAGGATTCGGGCGTTTTGAGATTCTCACCTGCCTGTTCCGGAATGTGCAGTAGCAGTACCTTTGCTTCATCTGTTCCTAGACAAGGACAGACAGGTCTGTTTCTTCCAGCAAAGCGCATGAAAATGCAAGTGCAGTGTTCGAGCGAATGCAGAAGGTACGGAAAGATAATGATGCAGCAGCATTCCTGGAGTCGGTCCGAAAAGCACATGCTGAAGAATTCAACAAGAAGTCGAACGAATGGGAAAAGAAATTGCAAGACGAGAAAAGGAAACGGCTTGAGGAGCGCCATGAGCAGAGAAAGAAGGAAAGGAGGAAGGAGTGGCTTCAGGTACGTTTCATTACGGGAAGTTGTTAAGCTGTTGGCTTCTTGTTCCCGCCAGCCAAATTTGTTATTTGGTTATCGTTTCCTCAAAATTCTGATTTTTCTAGGAGCGTGAAAGAGAAATGGCAAGGGCTAGGGAGGCAGCGGAACAGGCAAGACGAGAAGAGCAGGAGAAGGAGCGCAGAGCGGCTCGTGAAGCGCAACGGGCACCCAAACGTGAAGTTGTTGAAACTGTTGCGGACACAGATTCTGACTGGCGTCGAAGTGCACAGCCCACGCAGCCTAGAGCTGCACCCCCGGCAAGGCCCATTGGAGAACGATTTGTCGAAGGAGAACGGCATCGTGAACGTCCGCCCATTGTAAGAATTAAATTTGTTCGAATGTTTAATGTATCACAGATATTGCCTAGGCTATAGTGATGTTACTGGGATGCTTCCATATCGGGCATCACTATGTCAGTGCGTCCGTTTTTGGGCTGCTGTCATCATTTATATATGTTCGAGTGACCTTTTGCATTTTGCTCTTCATTGAATTAGACTTCAAAATCCTGAATTTCTCAGGCAGTTGCTGAAGCCGATTTTGGACCATGGACGCGAGGAAACGTCATCGCACCAACAAGACAACCGGAAGGCCCTGCTCGTACTTTCGAGCGGCCTGCTGTGCCTTCTCGGTTCCCAGAAAGAGAGCAGCAGCGCACTGAGGTGGACACAGCAACGAGTTGGAGGAGAGGACAAGTTATTCAACGCGAAAGAGAGCCGATTTCCGGACAAGTATCATCTTTTGAGAATCTTCGATAATTCTTTTTGTTTTTTAATTCACTGCGATTTTCGATGTCTTCTCGAGACTTGAAATTATTTGCAGCCGGCGATGGAACGTCGTGGTGAGCCCACTGGTGCACAACTTCAAGACGTACGGGCATCGGCACCTTCGCAAACTGATGCTGGACCATGGAGACGCGGCATGGTAACCCGTCCTGCCACTACCGAACAAGCTTCCGATTCAGCAGCCGGTATAAATGATAATATTATTAACTAACCCTTTAGTAAAATGGTGCTGGAAGCGCTTATCCCATGAAACAAGTGTGGAAAAATTTGTTACTCGCTGTCAAACTGTTTTGGCACAGCGTACTCACTGCCGTCTGATCATCGGTTGATTATTTTAGCTCCCGCAAGCCAACCATGGCGCCCACGATTCCGTCAAGCAGATGGCGCTGCCGTGAATGGTGCTCCTCCAACAAGGATATTGGAAGGAAGTGGCGCTGCGGTGAATGAACCAAGCACAGGTAAATGGAGTCGAACGATTCAACGTTCAGGCGACGGACATAACGCTCCATCTGGTAAGTTTTTATAACAGTTTTGAGTGGGCACCTAGGCATAGTCTGGAATTGGCAACGAATTAGGTGAGGTCAGATACGGCGAGGCACAAATCCTGGCAGCTCCGAGCATTCAGAGTGACAGTGTACTGCATTTTTGCCCAGTGATTTGATGGTTTCATGTATTCATCTTTTATGCAATAGCTTTAGCTGCGCCGGGCTGTTTTCTTTTATAAGGCGCGAGAAAAAGGGGTATTTTTTGTTTGCTAAAGTGAGTCGTTCGAGTATTTTTGTTATAAAATTTTGTTTTGCAGCTCGTAGTTTTCCCCAGCAGCAGCAACAACAACGAAGAACAGCAGACGAGGATTTTAATTGGCGTAAAAAGTGATTTATTACTGGTTTATTTGCTTGTTCAAAACGTTGCAGCTAGACAAAAAGGGTTTTTCTTTTTTGTTTTTTGCATCACTGGAAATGTGCTTTCGTTGTTGTGGCGAAACCGTAGGAAAAAGTGTGGTACGGTAAAAAGGAGCTATTGTTACGGGCGGTGCGCTCATTCTCTGGATACCATTGTTGCTGTGCTTTTATCGGGTTCTGTTTTGATATTTTCGGGATTGTTGTGGCACCCTCTGTTTGGGTACTCTCTTTCTGTGTTATTTTCAAAAGTATGTGTATTGTTGATGGCTTTTTCGTGCCATGTACGGCCCCAGTTAATATGTGTTGGTATAAATTTAGCTTGTTTTGATAATAAAGTGATCGGTTTATAAGCAGTGCAAAAAAATAACAGAACTGCCTGCGGTACTACCGCACGCCGGTTGCAACTGTGGCGGGTTTTCGATTTCGAGTTGCTTACCGCTAGTTAGCACTCACCCCCTGTTTTATACATGTATGCATTTTCTTCGAAGATGCCCGATTGGTCGTTTAATTCTTCGCTGGCGCTACTCACGAACTCATTCTGCATTTCACCATCATTAAAAGGGCAAAACACAACACTGTATTTGTAAAAACAGCAGTAATATCTCCAAACTGCCCAATTCGCGCACTGTTTTGTTTGCGGTGATTTGTCGTAAGAAACGCGTTCGGTGCGCTGCAGCCTGAGATGCTGTGTTACGAGGTAAAACTAACACATGCGTTTTGTCGTGTTCACGCACTGAGAGTTCACAACAGCTTCTAGCAAAAATGCACAGCCATATCGGTTTTTTTTGGTGTGCTTCGTTTACAGTGATCATTGGTTTTTACTTCTGAGTTAAAGAGCTTCGCTGTTTTCACTTTTTGGAATGCACTGGCTTTTTCTTTTTTTTTTGATGAAAACACCTTTATTTTGTTGCTGTTAGCCGAACAGTGCGCTGTGTACGGTAGTGACTTTTTTCACATTTTATTTTCTTATTTTTCAACAACGAAAAAGTGACACACAAATAATTTGCTTGATTGATTTGAGGGGGCGGAGGAGGGGAAGGAGGAAGCAGCACTAACGGGGCATGGGTTCGAAACGGGTTCTACAGAGCGCAGTCGTGGAATCACTGGAGAACTAATTGCCGGTAAAATACATTTTGTTTTATTCACACAACATCAATTACTCGTACCCAATGATATAAATCGCTGTTTTTCACTGAATCGTCGAGTGGTATCACTCGCATCCCAATGAGCTTTGACCTGAAATTTGTACACGTCATCACCTACAACATCCCAGGTTTGCAGCATTAGAAACACAAACGGGATGACGGAGAGGAAGCAAAAACGTAGGTTGGAACGCACCAGGCGAGCCGGAGCGATCATGCGTTTTTGCACAAAACTTGAATT